CCAATGATGTGTTCAAATCATTTGGGATATTCCTCATATTGTATATAACATACTTTCTATTCATACTAATAAGTGTTGATACACGTTAATTAATTTGATATATAATATACGTGATTCATACATCATATATTTCCAACTACTTTATGTATTGTTTGAAAAATGAAAATATGCCATTTTAGTGGTCACACACAAAACTGCCCCCATTAATAACCAATAGAGTTGATCAATAACGAGCGTTTGATAGATTAGCGAGTGGAGAATATGTTCTTTTCAAGATAATGCATTATGCATAGGATGGTGAAACAAGTGTGTTATCTCATATATATGCATGGACGATGGTGAATCCAAGTTTGGCTATGTTATAATATGGCTATACGATTGTAAATATATCAATTTTAATTTCTTAATTTTTGTCTTTTAAAATTGGAATCCTATTTTTCAAAAAAAAAAAATTGGAATCCTATTCAAACATTCCATATGCGACATGCTAAAAAAAGGAGTGCTCATATGAATGCATGGATCCACATCTAAATTAGGGGTGAAATTATTATCCGGGATTCGAGATCCGATCCTTTATCCGTTCGGAATCGCTCCGAAAATTAGGATATCCGGGGAGCCCGGATCCGGATAAGGACTGTAAAATTTAGGATCCGTGAAAAGAGGATCCGGATAGCAAAATTTTAAGGTCCAGATATCCGGATCCGGACGCATTAAATATATTAAAATCATATATATTATATATCTATTAAACTAATTTTATATAAATAAATATATATAAAAATTGATTTTAGTTCTTTTTATAATAAATTATATTTATAATGAAAAATACCATTTAAAATATTAACTAATAATTTTTAAAAATATATTTTTATTTATTTATTAATTATTTTAATTATTTTTAATATTAATTTCGGATCCGGATCCGGATATCTGCGGATATCCTGATTTTTGGAACGATTCCTAGAACCCAGATATCCGGAGGTCACGATTCTGGATTCATATAGTTTTTTCACGGATCCGGATACTCTGAAATTCCAGGATATTCGGAATCGTCCCACCCCTAATCTAAATATGCTGAATCGTGGATCCCTTACAATGATAGACCTCCAAAATTTCAGAACCCAAACTTGATACATCGAACTATACTCTACAATCCGGTTACTATTGATCATGTTTAAAGACACGCATGCAAATATTACAGGTTTGTCATTTATATATTTGTCTTGTTCGCATGAATATAATTTGTAAACTATAGTTATAGATGTGGAACATGTTATGGTTGTGGTCGATGAGAAGTGGTGGCTATCACATGTACGTAGCTAAAAGTTTTTTAATTGGTCGCTAAAATTGGCGATCGATTGTGTCAGTGTGCTCCAAAATAGATACCTTTGACTTTCGTCTACACGCAGACTTAAGCTTAGGGTCAACGTTATTACGGTGCTATGTATCTTTTCATCTTTTGTCAACTATTACAGGGCTACTTATTGTAATGTTTTGTATTATTGGTCGTTTTTAGGGATATTTGATTTATTTTATTTACCAGTTATTTTATCTGTTATGGGCATGAAGATAAAGACATAATTTGATTTAAAAATGGCTTAGATAAATATATCATTTTACATGTTATATTCTGAATGTATATTTTTGATGTTGTACTTGTTGATAAGGTAAATCCATAAATACAATTTTTATTTTTTAGCAAAAAA